TTTCTTTTCTTTTATATATATTTAAATATTTTATTTCTACTAAAATTTTCCAAATTATCCCAAAGATCGCCATTCGATTTTTCGAGTTAGAATAGGGATCCCTACTATTAACATGACCTCGATCACAATAACTATAGAATGATACAATATGTCCACGATGGATACAATCATGGTTACCATATGATAGATTGTCCACGAGATAGAATTCATCGTTACCTAACAAATCCTTCTCTTATAGTACCTTAAATTCCCTTTTCTTCTTAAGCTTACTCGATTGAGTTCTATAGATTCAATAAGAAGATAAAGCCTAGAGACCTATTTTGTAGGATTTAAGAGCTATGAGATCAAGAGCAAGGCTTTTAGGAGTGCGTTAGTGAGTTCTAAAAGGAATCATTCTCAGTAAGCGGGAAGACTTGACCAGAGCATAGGGAAATAAGTGGTGAAGATGCTGGCAACAGGATATGTATAGCGTGCCAAGCTTAACTTACTAACTCATGTACTTTTCTGCCTCATACGAGACTTTATCCCTAAGGTACGTCAATCAAAAGAATCTCACTAGAAGCTCACATGCTAGAAGCACCCATAGGATAAAAAAATTTAATATTGGACGATTGTAAAGAAAATCGAAAAGGCCAAAATCTACATCTTTCAACACTACCGCCATCCAACAGGATTGGCTAGAAACCAGGCGCATAAAGCATAACAGATGAAACTAGTTTCCCGACTAGGCACTTAACCATTGTAGGAATGCCTTAATAACTTAAATGGATTGATAAAAGTCAAATACTAAATTGTTGGTTGTACCTAAATTTCACAATCAAGTGAAATTATCTCTCTCTTTCTCCCTCCCCAAAAAATCTTCACGTAACTTTCCAACCATTTCAATCTCCTCCTCCGCCAAATCTATCACAGTTATCGATTCAAATCAGGATCACCGTGAAGTTTGATTATCCCAGGGTCGGCTGTAAGGCCGACAAGTGAACTCTTGTCTACCAATATGAGGCATGTGAACATTAAAAGATTTGTCCCCATTGGTAATAAATCTTTCAACTTTGACTATATTGGAAAGAAGCTTGATGGACTCTGTATAAGTGAAAAATAGAAGGGGAAATAGAGCATCTATTACATGAAATAAGGAAGATGTCAAATGGTTTACTGATGCCTTATACGACTTCTATTGGAAACAAGGTGGTGATTGTTGGGGAACAAACAAGAAAAATCATCATCCCCATCTTTTCTTCGTGTTAATTAAGAATAGAAGAGGCAGGTGTCTCGTGCTAACAGAGGAAACAGTCAACACAGTAAAAAGAATCTTCATTCCCCACGACTTTGAGGCAGGTAGCTGGTGGCAAATACTAAGAGCTACTTTGAACTATCTGATACTCCTCTGGTGAACCCTTTCAAAGAAAACCCACCAACCTTAAAGAATGCCCCTACTTGCGGTACGGTGACGCTGTCTACGAC